CCGGGGCGGAACAGCGCGGGGCGGGAGGGGCCCGGGCGGGAACAGCCGCGGGAGCCGAGGCCCGGCGTGGGGGCAACGGGACGGGAACAGCCGCGGAGATGAGACTCAGTGGCGGGGTGGGCATCGGGATCGGAACAGCCGCGGAGCCGAGGCCCGCCGCGGGGGGGGGGCAACGGGACGGGAACAGCGGGGAAGAGAAGGCCCCGGGGGGGAGCATCGGGACCGGAACAGCCGGGGAGGGACGGCCCAGCCGGTCTCCCTCGGCCCTGAACGGCTCCTGCCGCGAGGGCCTCGGGCCGGCGCGGGAGGGGATTCCTGGAGCGAACAGCCGGGGAGGCTGGGGCAGGCCAGGTCTGGAACAGCGAGGCGAGGGCGGCTGCCCCGCGGACGCGAGGCCCGGGGAGGGCCGCACGGAGGGGACGGTGTGCAGGGCGGGAGGGGCTGGGCGTCCCGGCGTCCTGACCCTGAAGCACTTGCCTTGAGCCCAACTGTGTGCCTCGTGCTGTGACATAGTCTCTCATTCAGCCCAGGAAAGGACAGGCGCCACCTGCGTGCAAGGCCAGAACTTGGTGCTCACAGACCCAGACCAGCAAACACTAGTTGCCTACAGTGTGCACCATGCTGGGGTGCAGAGTTTCACAAACTTACACCACGAAAGGATTGGTGCCGGCCGAGTGCTTGGCCGGGATGCGGTGCTCCCAGACCCATACCGGCAAACGGGGTGCCAACAGATCGTCCTGTGGTCTGCAGGATCCTAGGATGGGAGTGATCCTCAGGTGCAGGGAATTGTGGGCTTTGGAGCGAGCAAGCCCTGAGAGCCTCCATGTGTACCTGCTGGGCACTGAGGAGGAAGCCTTAGCGACTTCAGGGCCATGGCAGGAACGGGGGTAACCCTCCCCCCAGCTGGAGAGATTCATTTTCGCAGTACTCATTAAGCCAGACAGTCTCTGCCCCACAGTCTGGTGGGAGACAGAAATTATAGAACATCCAATTATAGAAATTATAAAATTATAGAAAGGTAAACAGTAAAAGAAGATTTTTTACCAAGGATGAACCTGCGTTGACACATCGTAATCATCCAAAGTCCATAGTTTATCTTAGAATTCACCCTTGATGTTGCACATTAATAGATTACATAGAATGACATATATCCATTATTATAATTCATCACAGAGTATTTTCACTGCCCTAAAAATCCCCTGTGCTCTGCATGTTCCTCCCTCCCCTACAACCCCTGGCAACCGCTGATCTTTTTATTGTCTCCAGAGTTTTGACAGGAAGTATTTTTTAAATTAGATTTTTATTTTGAAATAGTTAACTTTTTCTGTAGATTCCCCTGCAGTTGTAAGAAATAATACAGAGAGATTCCATGTACTCTTTACCTAATTCCCTCCAATGTAACGTCTTGCAAAACTATTGTATAGTTCACAACCAGTCAATATACAGAACAGTTCCATCACTGTAAGATGTTGCCCTTTTATAGCCACACCTCCTTCCCCCTGTTCCCCACCCCTGATGCTTGGCAGCCACTAATCCGTTCTCCATTTCTAAAATTTTGTCATTTCAAGAATGTCATGTAAATGGAATCATGTAGTGTATAACCTTTGAGATTGGCTTTTTTCACTCATAATTCCCTGGAGATTCATATATTGTTGTGTATATCAATAATTTGTTCCTTTTTATTGCTGAGTAGTATTCCCTGGTATGCATACAGCACAGTTGGTTTAACCATGCACCCATTGAACCCATTCATCCATCTGAGTTGTTTCCAGTTGTTTACTATTATGAATAAAACTGCTGTGAATATTTGTATACAGATTTTCACTCAAATGCTAACATATAATTTTATGTAAAATGGTAGAAGATTTACTGAAGCTCATTTGGGGGAGCATGAATCCCAGATGTGGAACTCTGGATGTTGGGGAGAACTAGACTTGGGGTGAGTGAGGCTGCCCAGGGAGAATTTAAGAGGGAGAGAAGAGAGTCCATACAAAAGGAACCCTTCAAAATAGAAACATTTAGGGGATGGACAGGAGAAGAAGAGAGTAAAGGAGGCTAGGAAAGAGCGAGCAGAAAGGTGGGGGAAGACCCAGGAAGGGTGGCATCCTGGAGCCAGAGAAAGGAGTGTTTCAGGAAGGAGTGTCAGATGCTGCCGGGAGGCTTGGGTGATTTTGGTGGAATGGCAGTGGCTTAAGCCCCACTAGAGTGGGTGGAGGAGGATGGGGAGGTAGGCAGAGGAGATGGAGGGTATAGCTGATCCTCATTGGATGCTTGATGTTGGAGGGAGGAGAGATGGGAACACGGGTTTGAGGTGGGGCATTCTAGAGAGACCTGAGCATGTGTAGCTGCAGATGGGAAGGAGAGGTTGCAGGCGGTGTGGGGAGAGGGGCCAGTTGGTGGAGAATGGTTTCTGAGGGAGCAGGAGGGGATGGAGGAAGGGCTGGCCTCAGGAGGGACACAGCCTGCATTGTGACAGGGGACAATTTGGATTCTGTTTGGCTGCAGGAGCTAATGGTTTTAATTTGTGGTGCAGTTAGAAGCTGGGCCTGGATCCGTGTAAGAGCTGAGAGGTTGGAGGCAGAGCGATGGCTGTGGGGAGAGAGAGAAGAGAGGCACCCTCTGGGTTATTTGGGAGGGAGGCAGCATGCCGTGGTGGCCACTCAAATGTGAAGAGGTCTGTCTTTCGACTAGTGTCATGGCTGGACAGTGTACTGTGAACCTCAGCAGTGACAGCTGATTGGAAAACATGAAGTATTTCGCTTCTCCAGAGTCCCCCAACCACAAATTCAGATTACACTGTTTATTGAGGAACAGAAAAGACAAACACACATCAGAAAACAAGGGAAGCAAAGATACCCAAGTACAGAGGTGTGGGATTTGTGGGGTGTGGATGGGAAAGACTTGGTAACATGATTTCCAGAGGGGCTGTATCACTTAGGATTAGATTCAGCCATGAGTAAGAGAGAAGCCTAACCTAGCAGTGGTTAAACAGGCTAGAATTTGTTTCTCTCATATGGCAGTCCAGAGGAAGACAGTCCAGAGCTATGAGGGTGGCTCTGTTCTGCAAGGTTCTCAGAGGCCCAGGATCTTTCCAGTTTTTTGTTTTGCAGTCCTTAGGGTATGGCCCTTGTCCTCATGATCTGGCATGATTGCTAGAGTTACCACCATCATATTCTTGTTCTAGGAAGCAGGATGGAATGGGACAAAGTAGAGAGTCATAGGGCTGGCCTGGTGGCGTAGTGGTTAAGTTTGTGCACTCTGCTTTGGCGGCCCGGGGTTCACAGGGTCGGATCCCCAGCACGGACCCACGTACCACTTATCAAGCCACGCTGTGGCAGGCGTCCCACGTATAAAGTAGAGGAAGATGGGCACGGATGTTAGCCCAGGGCCAATCTTCTTCAGCAAAAAGAGGAGGATTGGCAACAGATATTAGCTCAGGGCTAATCTTCCTCACCAAAAAAAAAAAAAAAAAAAAAAGACGGGGAGGTGGGTCACGTACCAGGCAGCCTTTAAGAAAACTGTCCAGAAGCTACCATAGAACACCTTTACTTACATCCCATTAGCTAGAACTTAGACATTCCCTAGCTGCAAGAGCGGCTGGGAAGGGTAATCTTTATTCTGGGGCATGATTTCAGCCCCTTTTGGGTTCTATTGCACTGGAAGTAGAAGAGAATGTGTATCGGGGCACAGCCAGCCATCTTTGCCATGAGGGCCTTGTGGGTCTGGCTTGTAAGAGTGAAATCAGACGTGATGCTGGACCCACCTTCCAAGGAGGCTGCATTTCTTTCTTCAGGAATGGACAATCAGACCGTCCTGGCTGTCCAGTCGTTGTTGGATGGCCAAGGAGCGGTCCCTGATCCAACAGGCCAGAGCGTCAACGCACCCCCTGCCATCCAGCCACTGGGTGAGTATCTGCTCAGGTTCACCAGGGGAAGGGTGAGTGGCTCCCCATAAAAAACAGTGGGGCTCATGAGGCGGGTGTGGGAGTGAACTGCCCACTGTGGTCCCCAGGCCCTCCTCTGGTGTGTGAACCCTCTCGCCTTCCTCCCAGCCTGTATCCTCAGGCTTGTGCCTTTCTCTGCTTAGCTCTGAGGACACTCTCTCAATCAGTGAGTGTGGGGATCATGATACAGGGAATGACTGGGAGCTCCCACACTTGGCAGTGCTTGTACCCTTGACCCGAAGTCATTTCTCAGCTTCCCCTCTATGGAAAGAACAGGCTGAGCATGACTCTCTCCAATTTACAGGCCAGGCCCCTGAGACACAGAGAGGGCAAAGGACTTGTTTTAGAGCCCTGTGTGAGTCCATGTGTTCATTTATTCGCTCCACAAACATTTTCAAGCGCTTGGGAACCACACTGGGGACGTAGAGATACACACCTGGGTTTGAATCCTTGTTCCCGTAGTTCCTGACTCTGTGTCCTTGGGCAAGTGAGTTAACCTCTCTGTGCCTCAGGTTCCACATCTGTAAAATGGAGATAATAGTCCTACCTCACAGGGATGTTTTGAGGATATCTGGGATTTGGTTTTAGCTGTTGTAAATAAGAAATGCAAATTTCTTGTGGTTTGTATGAGACTGAAGTTTATTTCTCTGTTTGGTGAAGTCCTGATGGGGATTTCGGGTGGGTATGGTGAGACTCAGACCCCTTCTTTCTTGAGGCCCTATTGCCCTCGACATGCAGTCCAGGATGTCTGCTCCAGCCTCCCACTTTCATTTCCACTTTCCAGCCAACACGAAGGGAAGAAAGAAGGAAGTGGAAGTCATACCCCTTCCTTTTAAGAAGAAGTCTCGTAGAGAGTATACTTCAGCTCTTGTCCTATTGGTCAAAATTCAGTCACATGACATGTCTAGCTGCCCAGAAGGCTGGGAAATCTAGTCTTTAACTAGACGGCCGTGTTTCCTGCTAAAATTTGTATTACTGTCTGAGAAGGAAGAGTGAATGTTGAATGACATTCAATGAATTAGACATTTCTGCCACAACATGTCAAGTGCTTGACACAGTGCATGGCCTGTGGTAGACCCTCAATAATGGGTGATGTTAACTATAGCTAATCATTCATTTAGTTTTTTATTCATTCAACAAACATCCACTGAGAGCCTTCTATGCGCCCAGGAGATATTGCAGTTATAGTGATAAATAAGACATATTTTCTTCCCTTAGGAGACTCACGGTCTGGCGGGGATGGGAAAAGTGTGATACGAGAGACATGCCAGAGGAAGGAACTGTGGCCACTGCTTTAGGAAGGCTTCCTGGAGGAGGTGATGTCTGAGCTGAGCCTTGCAGAACGAGTCATTCTGAGAGAGGCAGCTTGGCAGGAGTTGTAGGGGAGGCAAAGGCACAGAGAAGTGTGATCATGTGGCCCATTTGGGGACTGATGAAATAATTCAGGCAGGATAAAGATTCAGAATTTCTCAGTTTTGAAGCAAACCCACTTATTATTTCCTGATTTCTAATTTTTTGATACCTGGATGCACGTGGCTGGATACTCCCACAGATATGATTTGAAAGCTAGGAAGCACAAAGTTGACGCTTGACACAAGCACATTCAGTCACAGAATGCTGTTAGATTTGCTGCTCTGTGGTCCAGACATGAGTCTCCCCCCATTTTTCACTGCGATGCCCCCTCCTTTATTCTTGCTTTTTCTCTTATTCCCCTTCCTCTGTCACTCTGCGGGTGTGACCCCTAGATGACGAGGACGTCTTTCTCTGCGGGAAGTGTAAGAAGCAGTTCAACTCACTGCCAGCGTTTATGACCCACAAGCGGGAACAGTGCCAGGGGAATGCCCCACCCCTGGCCACAGTCTCACTGGCCACTAACAGCATCTACACGCCTTCAGCAGCACCCACAGCGGTCCAGCAGGCCCCACCTCCTGCCAATCGCCAGGTATTCATTCAATGGTTTGTTTATTCGTCCACTCAGCAAGTCTTTTTTTTGAGCACCCACTATGTGTCAGGCACCAGGGGTATAGCCGTGGACAAACAGACCAAGTCCCTGCCCTTGTGGAGCTGGGCGAGGTAGATGGTAAGTACCCAAACAAATGTATCAAGATATGCTTTTTTCAGGATGTTAAGTGCAGAGAGATGGGGATGCCAAGACAGGGGTGGGTAGTTTTGCCATTTTGTGTATGGTGCTTGGGGAAAGTCTCTGTGAAGACGTGACATTTGAGCAGAGACCTAAGGAGGTGAGGGAATGAGTCATGCAGCCGTTTTGTGGAAGCGTGTTGCAGGAGGAGGGATCAGCAAGTGCAAAGGCCCTGAGGCAAGAGTGTGCTGGGTTTATTCCAGGAACAGCAAGGAAATGAGAGTGGCTGGAGCTGAGTGAGGAGGAGGAGAGTGGGAGATGATGTCAGAGAGGCAACAAGTGGATTCTGGCAGATTGTATGGGCCTTGTGGGCTTTTAACTCTGAGTGAGATGGGAGCCATTGGAGGGTTTTGAGCAGTAGAGGGGTCTAGTCCGATTTACCCTTTAACTGGGTTACTCTGCTGCTGTACAGAGAATAGGTTTTGAGGGCAGTCAAGAGAGAAAGTTGGGAGACCAACTAGGGGACTGTGTACAAATCCAGGCAGTGGTGGTGGTGGTGGAGGTGGAGAGAAGGGATGAGATTTGGGAAATATTTTGAAGATGGAGCCGACAGGTTTGTGGATGGATTGGATGTGGGGTGTGAGATCACGAGGAGTCAGGGGTGACTCCAGAGTTGGGGTTGCCATTAACCAAAGTGGGGAAAACAGCCAGGAGAAGATTGGGGGGGATGTCGGGATTTTAGCTGGGTACATTGGATTTGAGATGCCCATTGGACCTTTAAGTGGAGGCGGTGAAGATGCAGACCGATAAACAAGTCTGGAGGTCAGGGCAGAGGGCCAGGCTGGAGGTATCTGGAGAAACTTCCAGAGTCCTCATTCCAGAACACAGTTCTGGAGCAAAGACACTGTGGGTGGGGGCTCTTAGACGGCTTAAAGAATCCTCATAAAGGAGGCTGGGCATGTCTCAGGATGCCGGGTCAAGGAGTCAGATTTCCCTTGGACTTCCTCTTGTCTTGTTATTCCTTTAAAACATTATCTTCATCCACTGTGTAGACAAAGTTCCTGCCATCAAAATAAAAGCGTTCACCCCTAGACCCACAGGACGTGTAGACTGAAACTTTTCAAGTTGCCACAGACATCTTCTAACACAGGACATAGTTGTTTTTCTCACTCCTTGATTATGAGTTTTGTTAGCAGAAAATATTCCTGTCCTCCTTTTTTTTTCAATAAAAGGAGAGAGGGAAATTCCTCCAGTCTTGGGCAAGGAAATAACTTCAGAACACAAGTGGTCGGTTATGGGCAAACACGAATCCCTCTGCCCAAGTGACTTGGATGGACACAGCCTAACGCATGTGACATTGTAAAAATACATGTGAATCAGGATCCACGCTGCCTCTCCTGGCCACGACGTGGGGCGTTTCCCTAACGTGCCTGGCCTCTCCTTGCTTGGTTGAGGGCAAGGACATCCTGTTTGAACAGGAACTCTGGGTTCCAGGGCTCAGTTGCTGTTGTCCCCAGAGGTCCCAGAGAGACAGGCAACCTGGAAAGATGCCAGGGCCTGCCAGTAAGGAAAAGCAACAAATAAACAGAACAAAACACCCTTTACATCTGCTGAGAGGAGCAGTCACGGCACCTTTCACACTCTTGTAAGGTCTGCCTTTCATCCTCACTATTACCCCCAGAGCATATTATTATTTTTATTATTAATTTATACATTTGCAAATAATACATGTTTCCCTTCTATTTTTTAAAAGTTAGAATGTTACAAATCAAGGCCCCTTGGGCACTATTCCTCTCTCCTTCCACCAGGTAACTACTGATGGATATCCTTCTCAAGCTTGTAAGATACTATCACATACTTAAATATTTATACATAAGGTACATGTAATTATATAATTTGATTTTTCATGCCTTTTTCATACATTTTACCTGTTGTATAGTATTCTATCCATGACTATATTGTATTTTTTAATCCATTCCCCTATTGATGGACATTGAGGTTATTTCTAGTTTATCACTATTAGAAATAAGGTGGTGCGGAATCGTGTTCATGGACTCCCTATGGACGTGTGTGAGTGTTTCTCTAGGATAGATGCCAGGAAGTATTATTGCTACGTCACAGATGTGCCTTACAGGGGGGTGTGACTTATTCTCCTCATTTGATAGATGAGCAAGTGGAGGTTCAGAGAGGTGGAGTGACTTTCCCAGGGGTCATGCAGCAGGGAGCAGCAGAGGTGGAAATGGAATCCAGGTCTGTGGGACTCCAGACCCAGATCTTTTGCGTCCTGCCCTCCACTTCCTTCCAGAGCCTCAGACGTGTCCTCAGTCTCTCTTTCTCTCACTGTCTAGATCTCCACATATATCACAGTGCCCCCATCCCCGCTGATCCAGACCCTGGTGCAGGGGAATATCTTGGTGAGCGATGACGTGCTCATGTCTGCCATGTCGGCCTTCACGTCTCTGGACCAGCCCATGCCCCAGGGCCCCTCACCAGTGCAGGTAAGGAGCTTCTCACAGGGTCTTGATTCCGGGCCTGCATGTTGACTCCTGCAGAATCAGAATCTTGTAGAAGGCCGGGGGTTTGGCCCCAGCTCTCCCTCAGGCCGAGGAGACTCTCAGCCTCCCCTTGGCCAGACCTGCCCTGGGTGGGGAAGCTGCCACGTGCAGTTGAGACCCAGAATATGACTTTGGGGTTTCACAGCCACAGTCCAGCTATTTTTACTCTTAACAGAAGTGTTCCATGTCCAATAGAAAATACACCAAAGAAAAGTAAAAAAAAAAAAAAGTTTAATTATTCATGATCTGGAAATTAAAGAAACATGGCAACTGACTACAATGTGCAACTCTTGGTTGGATCCTGGATCAGGGGGAAAAAACTATAAAGGCATTATTGGGACACTTGGGGGAATTAGAATATGGAGGAATTTGAATATTTTAGATAATAGTATTATGTATTATATTATGTAATGTATATTCAATTTCCCGAGTGTGATCCTGGTATTGTGGTTACATAGGAGAATATCACTGTTCTTAGGAGATGCATCTGAGCACAGTATTGAGGAATAGGGTATCCTGATGTCTGGACCTAACTCTCAAGTGGCTTGACAAAACACAAATATATATGCGTGTGTATGTACACACACAAACACTCACATTGTGGATGTGGCAAAATGGTAACAACTTTTGAATTACATGAAGTATAAAGAGTGTTCAGTGTATTCTTTTTGCAAGCTTTCTGTAGGTTTGAAATTTTTCAAAATAGAAGTTGGGAAATCAATCAATCACCCATACTCCCTTCACCCAAAGAAAACACTACCAAAATGGTGGTCTGGCTTTCCTAACCTTTGATTGCAGTAGAGATAGAAACAGCTTTTTATATTAATATATTTATAATACACACATCTATAGAAATGGGTCATGTTGGGCCGGCCCGGTGGCTTAGCGGTTAAGTGCGCGCGCTCCGCTGCTGGCGGCCCGGGTTTGGATTCCGGGCACACACCGACGCACCGCTTTTCCGGCCATGCTGAGGCCGCATCCCACATATAGCAACTAGAAGGATGTGCAACTATGACATACAACTATCTACTGGGGCTTTGAGGGGAAAAAAAAAAAAAGGAGGAGGATTGGCAATAGATGTTAGCTCAGAGCCGGTCTT